CTCTCCGAACGAGGAATCCATTGGTGGGGTCACACGTTCGGTTCTCGTCCTACCTAGTGACTCTGGAGCTCAACGCGTCTCGAGTTTTGGCCGCCTCCACCGGTCTTCTGGCCCACTGTGCGGCCCCGCACTAAGCCCCCCAGAAGTGCGTGCAAGCAGTGCAAGTCGCAAGCAGAAGAGAGCGACGGGTAACGCGTCCGGGAGTTGCGCTCGTTCCTCTTGGGGAATGGAAAGTTGCATCGCAGCGGAAAGTTAGGCCCGACGCGGGTTTTTAATCCGACATGATGGCGTGCAGCCTTTGGAGGCCCCAGGTGCGGATCCAGGGGGAGGCGCACCGCCTGGAAGGCAGGCAACAAGCACTGCTCCGCCCGTCTTTGGCAGTCTTTGCTTTCGGGGCGACTTTTCCCGGGCCGCTTTGCCCGCCATTGCATTGTTGCCTCGACGCTATTCGCACGACGGCGCTCCTTCATTCCGACTGCGAATAAGCCGAGCGAGAGCGAGCGGTGCAGAGCGCCACCCGCCGGGGACGGCGAACAAGGCGAACCGGGCGAACCTCGCGCTCGCCGAAGTCGAAACAACGCGCCGTGAGTGGAAAGCAACTCATTCATCACTCACGGCCTTGATCTAGCCCGGCTAATAATGGATGGACGAAGTGACTGCTCCTGGCTGTCCCGGTGGACGCCATCCGCGTTCGCGTCCTAGCCGACCTGTTTCCGACAGGAGTCTAGACGCGAGGCAGAGAGCAGCGAGGCGGCCGAGCAGGCCGAGCAGCCAGCCACCGGGCCGGGGCTGTTCTGCGGACTGTTTCCGAGTGTCGTTTCCGTCGCCCTGTCTCTCTCGCGCCCCCACGGGAAGCCCCATGAGTGCGAGAGAGACAGAGCGACGACTCTCGGAATCAGTCTCCGGCGGAAAGCCGCTCTTCGGTTCGAGCCCAATTCGATAACTGGGAGGCGCAGCGGGCTGGTCATATCAGCGGATGACAGAATTCGAGTCGGGGATGGAGGCTGGGTCGGCCTTGAGGTGGACCGCAACGACTGCTGCTTTGTCACGCTACTATAGAGGTTCTACAGGTTTTTGAGGTTCGAGGGGTTCCAGAAGTTCTAGAGAGGTTCTAGAGATTTCAGAGGCTCCAGAGGTGCCACCGCTTGCAGCGAAGGAGCGCTGGGCTGCCGAAATGGCCGAAATGCGGGGGGTGAGTGACGGCTGCTGCCTTGCTTGGACTTGCCGCGGCGTTGCCTAATACACGGACAGATTGCTTTCACCTCGGGAGGGACAAGGATGGATGCTGCAGGACACGGTCCATGACGGTCCATGGCGGTCCGGCGCGCGTGGGGTGGCGGAGGGAAGATTAAAGCTCGGCCCAGTGCCGCCTGCCGCCCTCTCCATCTAGAGTACAAATAACTTTTTTTTGGAACAAAAAAGAAAGAGGTGAGCCGCTTGCCTGGCCTTCCCTTTGGGGGATTCTCATTTCATTGACGGTGTCTCCCCCACATGCGTTTCTGCGAGCGAGCCCCCCTTTCCTTCCCCTTTTCTTTCGGTTTAATCATCCCCCTCTCCCTCCCTGACCCTTTTTCCTCCTCTCTCTCTCTCTCTCTCTCTCTCTCTCTCTCTCTCTCTCTCTCTCTCTCTCTCTCTCTCTCTCTCTCTCTCTCTCCCCCTCTCTCCCTCTCTCTCTCGACGACGTCACGCCGTTATTCGCGGCGCCAGCAGACGACACGGCAGCAGGGAGGGGAGGCGCGGCCATGTAGACCTAATGCTTCACCTCTCCTAAATATAGCTTCATCTTGCGTTTGACCCACCCTTCCCACCCCAGCCCCCTTTCGCTCGGCTCCGTCTGCCCCCCCCCCTCCTTCCACCTTTGTTTCCGTCACTTCCCTGCTGCTGCGCGCCAGCCTCGCGCTCGCCCGGTCATCCGCGTCCCTGTCTCCCTCGCACTCGTGGGGCGTCGCGGCGTCCCGTAGGGGGCGAGAGAGAGAGAGAGAGAGAGAGAGAGAGAGAGAGAGAGAGAGAGAGAGAGAGAGAGAGAGAGAGAGAGGGAGAGACGAAGCACTACCGCCCCAGCTGGCCTCGCCTGTAATCCTCAGCGAAAGCGCGGCGTGTATGTGTGGGTGCGAGGGAGTGTGAGTGTGGAGCTGGACCCGTCACGTGGCGCCACCAGTGCTCTCGTTTGTGGCTCCGCCGGGCTCTGCGAATCTGGTCCACTCGAAGCAGCGCCTGTCCCCCGCTGTCCCCTCGCTGTCCGCGGCAACAGGCTCGGTGGCAGTGTGCCGTATTTCGCGGAGCAAGTTGCTTCCGATGATGTTTGTTGCTGGCTTCGTGCAGTCTGAGCGTCACGATGGGCGCGCAGTCGTGCGAGCCGAACATTGCAGCACACGCTGCACGACGGACTGACGGAGCGCCCGCACGTGAGGGCCACGGGGCTGATTCCGTGCACGACTCTGTCTCTCTCGCACCCTCGCGGAGCGCTTGAAACGCGAGAGAGACAGAAGGCAGAGCTCGCGGAAGCAGTCTGCGGGACGGAGGGCGACGAGTGCTTCTTTATCTTCGGCGATGACGCGCGTATAGCGCCGAGTATTGCGGACAAATACCACGTGGCTACATTGTACCGTCGGTTCGGAGTTTTCCCGGTTTTCGGGATTGCAGGCTTCTCTCCGTGGAAACAGGTCGGCCGGGCGGGACCCAAAGTGACTTCCGCTTCGGGAGCGCGCGGCGGGGCGGGGCGGAGTGGGGTGGGGTGGGGCGGGGCGGGGTCGCCTCCCCTCGCGGAAGGGCGGCGGACTAAAGCCGTCGAATGTGTCCGGATATCAGCTGGATATTTTGGCCTCGTTCGTTGTCCTTCCCGAGCGCGGGGCGGAGTGGGGTGCGGCGGGGCGAGGCGGGGCTCACGGTCGGAGCGGAGGGCGGCGGAGGGAGTCGCCAAAGTAATCGAACTTCAATTTCGCTCCGTCAACGGCGCGGTCCGCGGAGCCCGCCCCGCGCGGCGCGGCGCGGCCGTCTGACCAATTTGGCTGCTGATTTTCAGTCGAGCAGCTGCGGCGGCAAAGAGGGGGGGGGGGGGGGGCACCGCGCGGGAAAGTGCCATACCGCCAAAGGAAAAGCAAAACATCTTATTCCTTGGACCGTTAGAAATTAATGAGAAAATCTCAGAAAGTGCATTCTGAAAGCTCCGTCAGAAATTTCCGGAGGCCTCAAAAAGATTTCTTTTTGTAGTATAAGTACCTGCTGGGAACCCGTACAAAATGGAAACGTGGGAGATTTCGGAATTTGCCGAAGACAATCTTTTTGCGCCAACAAGTTTTCTGTAAATCCTCAGCATTTATTTGACAGTGTATCCGGCTGTTATAATTTTCTCTCGTCTTTTTGGCGATGTGGCAATAAAACATGGTTAGTAATTTTGACTTAATTAATACCAAGAACGCGGCCTTGAGTGAGAGGCGAGTCTGGAAGCCCTACGGGCCGGGACGGGGAGGAGGGGAGGGGGAAGGGGGACACGAAAAAGCATTTCCATCGAGTTTCACCGCGGGGTATTCCCGTGCCGGCCGCGCGCTGCTCAAAATTCCCCGAGAAAAGTTTGCAGAATCTAACACGCGGCCGGCAGTGCGTGGCAGTGTGGCAGTGGCGGCCCAGCTCGCCCAGCTCCAGGCAACCCCGGCCTGGGAGAAAGCGGCGTGCACCTCCCCCCCCCCCCACCCCCTCCAACTTCTTCTGGTCTTCGGGGCCGGTTGGCACCAGCGCGGAAGTTATTCGGGGGAAAGCCTCTCGTATCGATATGATGCTCCGGGCGAGAGATACTCTCGCATTTGCATTATTTACAATCGTCTTGTTTCCTGGCGAGTGAACACTTGACTGCTTGTTGTTGTAGTGTAGCTGCGGCTCGCAGCTCGCTCGCAGCACTAACAAGGGGTGCTGGAGCCAAATTGTTGCGCGTCTGCCGATTGTGTGTGTGAGTGTGTCTGTGTGTGTGTGTGTGTGCGTCTGCCGCTTCCCTCGCATCTGCGTGACCTGTGCTGCCAATTCAACGCTCTCCCGACGGTGTTCGACTGGTTCGACTGCTTCCCCCTACAACAGCTGATCGCAACGGTCTGGTCTAGTCTGGCTCGCCGTCTGGGCTGGCTGCTGGCTGGCTGGCTGGCCGCCTGTCTGTCTGTCGGCTGGCTGGCTGCCCGGGCTGCCGGCGGGGTGGCTCCGTCCGTCCGTGCGCTCCGTTCTTTGTCCGTGCTGCGTGCAGGCCGTCCCGGAAACGAGTCACTTCAGGACGTCGAAACCGAACGCCTTACAGTGCAGCATGCTCAGCATGCCAGCCTCGCAGGGCGAGCTCGAGGACTCTGCAGCTTAGAAGTCGCGAGTTGGCGGGCTCAGCAGGGCACGGGCCTGCGACAGATATAGTGCCCGCCAGCTTCAACCTTTCTAACTCGGCCGCGGGTTCCGGGTTCCCCGGTCGGCCAGATTACCAGATTCCCGAAACCAGAAGAGGACACACGGGAATGGGACCGGGTGCAGCGCAAGCAGCGCAAGCAGCGCAAGCAGCGCAAGCAGCGCAAGCAGCGCAGGCCAGACAAGGTCGGCAGGCCACGCCGGCAGACGGGTCTGGCAGCCTAGGCTGCTTGGCAACAGCGACAAACTGCCCTCTCCTCTAAGCATCCCTGGCGTGCCGTGGCTTGCCGTGGCGGGCGAGGGGGGCGGCGGAGAGGGTGGCGGGCAGACGGGCGGGCCCGGCGGACGGACGGACACGGAGCGGCGGCGGTGGGGCGGCAGCAGCGGCGGCGACAACATGGCCTACAGCGGCTGCGGCGGCGGCGGCGGCAGGGGTGGCGTAGGGTGGCGGCGAGGCACGATCGTGCAGCACCGTAGCTGCCATGGCTGCTGCGCGCTGCGCGCTGCGCCGGGGGGAGGGGGAGGGGGAGGCTCGGCGGCGGGGAGGGGTCCTGGCTCAGCGGACGGAGTGCTGCTGCCGCTGGCTGCCTGCTGGCTGGCGGCTGGCTGGCAGTCAGTCTCAGGCAGACCGCTCCCGTCGTTCGTTCGGCCTCCGCGTCGCGCTCCACGCCGAGCCCGTCTCGTCCTCGCTGCCGCCGTGCCCGCCGTGCCGTTTGGGTGTTCCGTTGCGCCCGCACCACCCCCCTCCGGTCCCTCAGTCCCTCGTGCTCGTGCAACAGCACACTGCAACAAGTCCGTCCTGCCGGCCGGCCGGGTAGCGTTTGGACACCCTGTGGATTACTATCAACGCCTCCACCGCCTTCGTTCTGTGATTGCTCGACGCGCCTTATGGTGAGTGTGTCCTGTGTCGGCCCTGTCGGCGCTGGCCCTGTGCTCGGCACGCTGGCACGCTGGGGGCCCCGGCCTGCCCCGGCCCCGAAGGGCCCCGACGCAAACAGGCAGATAGACGTTATCAGGTACCGGGGCCGTCGGGGCCGCGCCGGGGACGCCTGGACGCCGACGGCTGTCGGCCGGTTTCATTTCGACGGCCGAAGGCTCCAAGGGCCGCCGAACGGGAAAGGGACTGCCCGGGTAAAAATAGAGGAAAGGGAAGGTGAAGGACGAATGTGGCGTCGCCGTCCACGCCGTCCGTCGGTCTGTCCGTCTGCCCGTCGGCCTGTCCGTCCGCCCTGCCGCCCGCCGTCCACCCGCCTCTGCCAAACATGTGCCCCTGCCGGGCCTGCCGCCTGATTTCGAAGGGTCGTTTCGCCGCTCTGTCTCCCTCGCACTCACAGGGCGTCTCGTAAGGGCGCGAGGGAGACAGAGCGACGAAACGGTCCTTGAGGGGGCTGCCCCGCTGTCCCAATCACCAGGCTGTCGCCGTGACGCTGTCGCCCATGTCGCCCCGACTCACAGTGTGCCTCACGACGGCGCGCCGGGATTCGGGATTGGTGTCCACGCCGTCCTGCCGCCCGATCTGTCTCTCTCGCAGCCCTACGGGACGCCCCATGAGTGCGAGAGAGACCGAGCGACGAAATGAGGCCGGGCCGCCGGCGCCCTGACGAGGCTGCCAGCCACGACGGCCACCCTTAGCCTGCCTGAACCGAGGCGTCGTCGCTTACGGGCCGCCCCCGTGGCGGACCCAGGTGGGCCCCGGACCACTGCCTGGTCGGAGGACCGGAGGGGCGGTTCCATTCCATGCATGCCAATAGGCATGTTTTGCAAGGCCGAGACGGAGCGGCAGAGCCAAGGACGGCAGTCCCTGCCGCGGACCGTGGACGCCCACGCCATGCTGGCCATGCCCACGGCGGCTGGAGGAGGCGCCTGCCCTGCTGCCCTTCTTCGTTCCGCCCCTGCCCGCCTACAGTGCCCCCACGGCCGGCACCGCGGGTAAAGCCTGCCCATGGTTTATGCACTGCCACTGCACTCTGGAGGCTGGAAGCGCTGAAAGCGCACGCCGCTCGCAGTGCCGCCCGCTGCACGCCGCCGGGGAGTGCACCCTCGTGTCTGTCCGTCTGCCTGCGGAAGTGCGTCGCGGTGCGTCGCGGCGCGTCGCGGCGTGGTTGGGGGTCGAACCCGCGCCCCGCGGGGCTGCCTGATCGGTCCAGCTTCCCAGCGGTGGCCGTGCGTGCTGGCGGTGCTGGCCACTGGGACGCCGGACCAATGGCATCGCTTTCTGTCGATGCATATCAGTGCCGGTGGAATGGGGTTGGCAGTGCAGTGCCTGGCCGGTCTGGACGTCGAGCCTCGTCGCCTCGCCGTCGTCCTCCAGGTCCGCCAACCTGCCGGCGACGCCGCTATCCACTGTAAAGCACGACGCCGGTGCGGGTGGAGGGAGGAAGAGGAAGGCATTGCGGCGCTGTTGCTGAACCTTGAACTGGGATGAGGGGCGCTGTGCCTGCCTGCCTGCCTGCCTGCCTGCCTGCCTGCCTGCCTGCCTGCCTGGCCGTCTACGTGCGTCTCGCAGGGCGTTGCCCCGACGCGCCCCGACGTGCGGTGTTGGAAAGGAACTGGGTCGCAAGGCCCTGTAGGGCGGTCGGACGGCCCGGGCCCTTCAGGGCTTTTGGGGCTGGCTGGCTGCCTGCCTGCCTGCCTGCCTGCTGCCCGGCCGCCTGCGGGGCTCCCTTCGGGCCCTTCGGGGCCACAGCCACATGTGCAGGCCGAGGGCGCTGCCTGCGCGCTGCCTGCACGCGTCCGAGGCGCACCTCTCTCCCCGACGCAGGCGATGCGAGCGATGCAAGGATGCAACGGAACAAAGAGCGTATCGCACGGAAGGGGGAGGGGGAGGAGCCGCCGAGGAGGGCGAGCCGACGTCTTGGCGTCTTTGTGCGCGTCGCACGTCAATGGACGGCATGGCCGCGGACCTCGGCACCGCGACACCCCCCTGACGTTGAACCGCGACGGCACGACCACGGCCCTGGGGGAAAAGGGGGGGGGGGCAGAAAGAGCAGCTGCTGGGCCGACGAGAGGGGGGGGGGGAGTCAGCTGCTGTCTGGAGCGCGGTCCTCTCCGTTGGTCCACGCCGCTTTGGCCCCGCCGGCCCCGCCACGCCGGGGTCTGCATCAGTGTGTGTGTGCTTGCGTGTGTTTGTGTGTGTGTCGTAAGGCCGGGCATCGTTTTTATCGGCTCCTCGCCTTGAGCCGTCTGGACTGGGCAGTGGGGAATATATAGTATGCAGTACCGCTGGTGCCGCTGGTGCTGGTGGAGTCCCAGGGCTGGGGGTACGTACTAGGAGTTTACAGTATCGCTGATGCAGCGGAAATGGAAGTGCTACACAACACTTGGTTGATGAAGGGAATGTCGTCTTATTTCATCAACGAGTGTTGTTACCAGAAGTGTTTTGGGGGACGGCGCGCTGTCCGCCGCGGTGGAGTGGCCGTCGTGGCGGTGACGCGTCACGCTGCGTTGACTCCGTGTGTGTGTGTGTGTGTGCGTGGTGTGTGGGTGTGTGTGCGTGTGTGCGTGTGTGCGTGTGTGTGTGAGGGGAGGAGGGGACGAATGTGCGCGCACGCGCCCCCACATTGAGTAGTAATGAAACAGGAAAATGGATGGGAAATTGTACATAAAATGTGTGCTCGGCGCACGTGTTCCCATGCGTGTGTGTGTGTGTGTGTGGTGGGGGGAGGGGGAGAGTGCGGCAGCGAGGCATAAAACGCGGCGCGTATATGTGCTCAACCGCAGATTAGTTATTCGCTTTATATATTTTTTAATTCCCCGCTCTTGCCCCCTTTCCCCCGCGCGCTGCTCTGCGCTGCTGCTGCGCCCGGAGGCGACGCGGTGGTGACGTCACGGATGTAATATCGCTCTGGATTATACGGTGCAGGGGCAAATAGTGTGATGCGATTGCAGGGACGCGGTGCGTGCAGCCCGGCTCTGTGTGAGTGTGTGTATCGGGTGAGAGATCATCAACGTCATTAGCTTGGAGTCACCGAGGGACGGCAAGGGTTGTCGAGCGAGGCTGCAGTGGATCGGAAAGGACTCGGTCGTCGCGTTTGGCGGAGTAGCTGGTCGTCGTGCCCGCTCGCGCGTTATGGCTGCCAGTCCCGGTCTCCGTCATGTCCGTCATGTCCATGGTCATGTCCTGGCGCTTCCCCGTCTTCCCCGCCCCTCGGGGTCGCCTGCGCCTGTTCAAGATTCGTGGTGAACGCGGTCTTCTTTCCAACACCCGGTCCGCTGTCGCTGGGGGAGTGGCGCTTGGTTCTCCGCCGTTCTCCGGGCCGGTTTCGCGAGTCACTCCGCCCTCCGCGCGCGGAAGAGTGCGAGAGAGACAGAGCGACGCCAACGCCACTGCTGCGCCACTGCTACGCCGATCACAGGCCGACCGGCGCCCCAATTGTTTCGGAAATGCTGTTGTCTCGTATCACGGTGTCGAAGCAACGCGATTACCGACGCCGCTCCTCTTCTAATGACCGCCGATATCACACCGGCGTTCTATTTCGGGACGTTCTTTTTTCCTCTCGCCTCTTTCCTCCCATTCCCATTTTTTTCGTTTTATATGCTCCTCTCCTGTGCCCCCGGGCACTCGGCTCGGCGGTGACGGGGCGGGCGGCCCAGCTGGGTTGTCTCCATGCTGCCCGCACATGTCCGCCCTGGGCCCATGCGTGGGGACAGGGGAAAGGGGGCGGGGTCTCCTTCCAGGTCTCCCACAGGGCCCTGCAAGGCCTGCAAGCTACCCGCAGCTGGAACCAACCTGCAGCTGCCCCCCTCCTCTCCGCGTCCCTCCTGGTGGCCCTGCGGCCCCCATACTGCACACGGGGCAGGCCGAGGCAGGCAGCGTGCTTTGCCTCCAGCATTGCCACGCCGTGGCGTGGCGTGGCGTGCCGTGCCGTGCCGTATCGCAGAGTAGGCAGAGACCCCCGCCTTCTTCCTCTCTTCCTTGTTCTGCTGCTGCCCCTTTTTGCGGCCGTGGTCGTCGAGGCATTCCTGCCTGCACTGCAGCCCGCCCCAAGGACACCGATCGGGAAAATAACCGAGGTGAAACTTGGCGCGGGGCGGGGTGGGTGCGTGCGCCAAGGGGACTGCGCTGGCGGTGTGGTGGCTTCCAGCAGCCCGTGCGTGTTTGTACCGGGCGGATACGATTGCGGTTAGTTCCAAATTTTTTTTTCTCGACCCCTTTTTGCATGGTTGTCTGCTTGCCATTGGCTAACCCGTGCTGTGGCTGCTGCTCCGTGGCGCGGTCGCGCATCTGGCTCGCGACGACTGTCTGTATCGCCCCGCTCCCCCCCGCCGAGCTGCTGCGGTGGCTTGTGCCTGGCTGTGCCTGGTGAGCAGGTCTCTCGTTATCTCGAGTGAGAGAGAGGGAAAGGAGACGCGGCCCTTCTTGACGCCACCCGGACGGCCACGACGGCCACCACGCAGGAGCAGCAGTGACTCGTTCGTATTTTGCCAACTTTTGCGCGCGCGCACACACACACAAACTCGGTGTCATCCTCCCCGCACTGTACTCTTTACAGCCGGGAAAGGGCACACGTTTGTGTGTGTGTGAGTGTGTGTGTGAGTGTGTGTGTGTGTGTGTGTGTTGGTGCGGCGATTGGCGTCGTCGTCGTGATGCTAATTAGATGACCCGTGGGATGACCCCTCAAAGGGTTGAAGTTGAGCAAGCGAGGCGTCTCTCTCTCTCTCTCTCTCTCTCTCTCTCTCTCTCTCTCTCTCTCTCTCCCCCCCGCCAAGTGGCAGGGCGTGCGTGCGGCGCCCCTTCGGGCCCTTCGTGCGGCCGTCGTGTTGCTGTCGGCGCGGATAAGGCGTCGGAAACAGCGATGCGGCCGCGATAGTGTAGTGTGGTGGTTGGCGCCTGCAAGCAAGCTCGTTCCGAGTGGGCGGTCTCGCTCTCTCTCTCTCTCTCTCGCTCTCTC